GCCAAGATATTGGAAACTTTCGACCTTCTCCACTGCTTGCCCCACTACCGTAAAGTTGGAAGGGTTGCCCGTGTTGATATCCAACGATTTGGTCTTGTTAACGTTGATAGTGAGACCCGCCGCAGAGGAGCGTTCGGCTAGGTCATTGAGCTTACTCTGTATATCAGAGCGCCGTTGTGCTAGTAGAGCAACATCATCAGCCAAATCGAAGTCGTTGAGATGCTCCATGGTGATAGGCTGCCAAAGCAGCCAACGGTTCGGTACACGGTCAATTGCACCTACCATGATCTCGTCGATTACGATGAGAAACAGTAGCGGTGATAGTATACATCCTTGTCTCACACCAGCGACTACCACGATAGGGTCGGACAAGGCTCCGTTATGCAGAACTCTGCACGTGAAAGCCTCATACTGCACTTCGAAGAGGTTGACGATTTCATCCGGGACTCCTTTGCGTCTCAGGGCACCCCACAGATTCTCGTGATTGAGACGGTCGAAAGCTTTTTCGTAGTCAAGGGACTCTTGGAATTCATTGACCTGCTCCAGGATGGTCCACACAAGATCTTCCGGCACGGAATCCTGCCTGCTGCCGTCGGAGAGTCACGTCGATCTTCTCCTGTATCCGATTCAGGATAATTTTGCACAGAACTTTGAGAACAATACACAGTAACATGATACCTCGCCAATTGTCGCACACAGTCAGATCCCCCTTCTTTGGGACCTTCACTAAGATGCCCTGCATCCAGTCGGCCGGAAAAGTCGCGGTGTCCCAGTTATTACAGAATAGTTGATGCATCATTTGTGCGGATAGCATGGGGTCAGCTTTGAGCATCTCTGCTGATATGCGATCGACCCTTGGAGCCTTGTTGGATTTCATGCTTCGGATAGCTGCTTCAATCTCCTGCAGTGATGGGGCCTCGGAATTGACGCGAGTGATGCGCCGCACCCTAGGCGGATCATGCCGAGATGTTGATGGCTGGTTGGCCGTCGAAACTTGAAAAAGTTGTTCGAAGTGCTCAAACCAGCGTTTCAGCTGGTCGGTGGGGTCGGTAAGCAATTGTCCAGTCGTGTCCTTCACTGGCATCCTCGGGTTCATCCCTGCTCCACTCAGGCGTCGTGAAATATCGTAGAGGAGGCGTATATCGCCAGTGTTTGCGGCTTTCTCCCCTTCGTCGGCCAGGGAGTTCACCCACGCTCGCTTGTCCCATCTGCAAGAGCGCTTGACTACCGTTGACGGGCATAGAGTACCGTTGACGGGCTTCGTTCTTGGCTCCTCTGGTTCTCGCCCGCTCTATCGCGGCTTTTGCTTCTCTACGCTCCTCAATCTTCCGCCAGGTTTCATCTGCGATCCACTCTTTCCTCTGGGTGCGCAGCTCACCCAAGTTGTTCTCGCTTGTTTTTATAAAGGCATTCCTGATGGCCGTCCATTGTTCTTCTACGCTGCCACCTTCTGGAACGTCCGCAGCTCGAGTTTCAAGTTCTTCAACAAAAGACCTTTTTGCCACTGGATCTTCAAGTCGGCGTGTGTTGAACCGCCGCCCGAGTCTCTCCTCCCGTCGCTGGATCCGTGCCATGCGTACGCGGATTTCGCCGATTAGAAGGTGATGGTCAGACGCGATGTCGGCGCTGCGTTTATTCCGGACATCAAGGAGGCTCCGTCTCCATTTTCGGCTGATGCAGATGTGGTCGATCTGATTTTCGGTATGTCCATCACGGGAAACCCACGTGACTTTGTGCACTGGCCGATGGGGGAAGAGCGAGCCCCCGATCACTGTGTCGTTATTGCCACAAAATTTTGCAAACAGCTCTCCGTTCTCGCTCATTTCGCCGAGACCATGGCGTCCTATGACACGCTCATAGTCCGTGTTGTCGGAGCCGATCTTCGCATTGAAGTCGCCAATGTAGATCTTGATGTCACCCTTTGAAACCTTATCCACGACGGCATTCAGTTGACTATAAAAATTCTCCTTATCCTGTAGCTCGGCAGCATCGGTTGGCGCATAACATTGGATTATGGTAAGGTTACGAACCCGCGTTTTAAATTTGACAACGATTATCCTCTCATTAACAGGCTCCCACTTGATGAGCGCAGCACTTGCCTGGACGCTAAGTAGGAGACCAACTCCACGATGGTGGGGAGCGTTTTCACCTCGAATACCAGAGTATAGTAGTACCTGTCCCGACGGCAGTTTGTGTTCTCCAAAGTTTGGCCAACGAACTTCACTCAGTCCCAGGATTTCTAGCTTCATGCGTCGCGCCTCGTTGGCGAGTTGTGCCAATTAACCCTGCTGGGCTAACGTCAATACATTCCATGATCCAATTCGTGTCCGTTGTTTTGCGCTAAAAGTCGTTGCCGTTAAATCAGTTCGATGTCTTTCTCTGTTGGTTTCTGTAACAATTGTAAAGGTTTCAGAGACAGTAGGTGGTTGGCCTAAGGTCTCCTATCCGCCGTGATGGCGCTGCCATCTTAGGTGTAGCTTCCGGGGAAGAGCATTTCTTATTCAGCCGCTGGATGCCAGTCAGACGCTGTTTGAGCCGCACCTCCATGGTGAACAGACGCTCAGGATGGCGAAGCATTTCCTCTATCACCGTGCTATGGTTACCGCGCCAGTGTTCGCGTCGCACCTCCTCACTCTGCTATTGTCGGATTGACAACATTGCCCAGGCTACGCCAACCAGCTGTGTCCATGTTTCAGCTGGCAGTCTTTTGTGATCATATGACTCGTGGAGGCGTGAGGTAGGAACTTGTGAGGACCGGAGCTAGGTATATCGCTCCTTCCAGATTGTCACTCACCATTTTGTAGCCCACTTGATTTAGAGGGGTGGCACAAAGCGGTCAAATTTTAACCTTTTTATTTATTTAGCTGGCGTCAATCAGTGTAAACCGTTTAAAAATAGTTGCCTTGTGCTATTTTACAATTTTACTTAGTTTAAAAATATAGCGGAAATGCATGTAATGTCGGCCTAAATGTCCCTGATTTGGGCCCATACATAAAATCAGCAATCGATTAAATTTTTAATAGCAACCAAAAATATCCATGAGTACCGTCCCAATGACGTGTTCATCTAGATAAAATTGATAAATAGCAGTTTTTTGCGATGGGCCCAATGTTAGATCCATAGACCAATATTAGAGCCATTTCCCCTATATACATCAGCCATTCCATAGCCAAACAATATACGGGTTCTTAGAATTTCATATTTTTTTTTTAATTTTGATAATTGACCACTTTGTCAAGCAGTTTTGGCGTGACTTTCTACCAGCGATTTCACAAAATTGGACCAACTAATTTCTATTTTTTTATGAAACGCACAAATGTTGGCTACTTTCCTCGAGGTTCTAGAAGAAAAAATCTCAAAATAATGTTTCATTTCAAAGTTCGAGTGGTAGTAAACGTCATTTTATCTGCTCGAATGAAGTGGTTAATTACTGCAAAATATTAGACCCGATTTTTTTAATTATTTTGTCATGAGGGTGACCATTTATATTTTAGGGTGGTTCAAAAAATCGATTTTTTGTTTTAAAATTACTTTTTTCTAAAATTTACAACTTGTGTGGTTCAATTTGACCAATTTAAAAGATCAAAATATCAAATGAAATGTAATTAAAAATACTTTTAAAAATAATATGATGATTTTGACAATTTGGGATTTCATATTTAAAACCATTAATTGTAGGTACTTTTTTATGGTTTCCATGGTTTGTAGTAAGAAAAAATTTGGGGAAGGTACGAATCGGGTTGATCATCTCTTGTCGTACTCTAACGGAACAATCAACTCTATACTTTCATCTCCTCATCTATCGTATAAAATTACCACTTTAAGTCTGTTATTTGACGCTTAGCATCTTCAAATCTAGATAGAGCTGGAATTAGGGCGTAACAGCTTTTGTAAACAATGACTGCTATCGATGATTTCTAGGAACTCACGGCACGCCCCCGCAGACAAACATAACCATCGGATAAGGAAAGTCTTTCCCTACCTGTTGAAGATGTTGGTTTGCTTGGGCGAGTCTTGGATTTCTAGAAATCGTCTAGTCTTCTATCATTGTTTACAAAAGCTGTTACGCCCTAATTCCAGCTCTATCTAAGAAATATGTAAATCGTTTACTTCATCCAGAAGTAATACAAACGAAATAGTTTCTTCTTTAATTGTTTTGCACCCCGTGCGAAATTAAGCTTTCTTTATAAAGTAATGAAATTGGGTTTTTAGCGGAATGCTTAAATAAAACAGAAAAAAAGGTTATCTTCCATTCAATTCCACTTAATTAATTTTGGTATCCCCAACAGACACGTATACAAACACGTATTAATTAAGAGGAAATAAATTGAAGATAACCTTTTTTTTTGCTGTTTTATTCAAGCATTCCGCTAACAACCCAATTTCATTACTTTATTATGATGGCTACCAAGGCTTTGGGATTTTCCTTATTAGAGAGTTGAATAGATTTTTCTCCTTTAGTTTACTTAAATCTTTGGTTTTAATTAGTTAGGTAGGTTCCGATTCAACACATTGTAGTTTCATTTTTATACCTGTGATCTTGACTTTTATACCTAGGGGATGAGTACTTAAGGGGGTTAGATTTTGAATAGTTCTTTAGTGGGAATGACACTGATGAAGACTGCACATTGTAGTCGAAATACGTATCTGTCATGGATACCAAAATTAATTAAGTGGAATTAAATGGAAGATAACCTTTTTTAAGCTTTCTTTGTTTTGTCTTTTTGTGAGTATGGAAAAATATGTTAAACTATGATTTCTGTCATATTTATTGGATATCTATGCGGAAGAAATATTGAGGTTTACATATATTGCCATCAGTTGAATGCCGCGGACACACTTGGATGACAAACTATGAACATGAGCATTATTTGCACAATAAATTATGAGCAGATCCATGATCACACTTGTATAGTTATTGTATAGTTGTTGTAGTGTTCATAATTATTATACAAATAATGATCATGCTCATAGTTTGTCATCCAAGTGTATCCGCGGCATAAGTATTAGTTTCTTATGATTTTATTACAGTATTTGTAAACTTAATTTTTATATTCGTTGAGGCCATGTTGCTGTAAGGTCTCATGAAATCAGTTAAGGTCTGAACGGCGGCTGCTGTGCCACGATTAAATGGGAATCCCATAGTGCGCTTGTCTGGGTATAGCTTATCCCTGAGGCCACAGAACGAGTGGGCATCGTTGCAGTCGGCAGTCCTAGGATATATAATCGATCAGTTAAAGTAAATTTTTCAACAAATCCAAAATCAAGTCTTACTCGTCGAATTCTTGTCCAACTGTGTCATCATCAAAGTTCGATATCATCACGTATAGGTCAAACTGTACTCCTTCGGGAGCTCCTTTTGGCAACAGCATATGATGTGGCCAGCCACATCCACAGAATCGAAACTCTGCCAGTTGTCTTTGATCCATTGGCGTTTCCGCTGTTCCAATTCGGCGAAAAGACCTCTCATACGGTACTGTCACACTAGATTGGTCCGACTTTCGTATGAGAGTGTTTTCTCCTGGTTTCACTGCAACGAAATTCTCTGTATAGAGTAAGCGTACTTTGTTAATTAACATTTGTTGAACTTACAATTTACACCAAATTTATCCAATTCAATAAATAACTGTCGTTGCTCGCGGAACTGCATGTTGGTGCCACGTTCATCTACCTTGGGCGCAAGGAAGATACGAGCTGTTCCTCGCTTCAGAGACCCTGTTGAGTTGGTGACTTTGATCTTATATGTGAACGGAGCATGCTGTAGATGAGTGAAGCTCGCAAAAACATTTCCTTGAGGACCAAAATCAAGCCCTGCTGCCAAGTCGACTTGCGTTTTCTGCCAATAGGTCAACAACATATTTGCCGGAGCGTTTGGTCGATTGACACGTGCACTGATACCATTGACTTTAATTCCAGTATAGCCTAACTGAGTGGCATTGTATGGATTCAACGTATCCAGGAATCTACGGAATAATCCATCGATCATTCCATGCCAACGATAGAACACTGGATCACGCATTGCCGTCGTAACGTCACCCATTACGCCAAAATCCTCCAAGTAACGATAGTCCGGATCGTGGATGTACGCCAAGAAATCATGACCAGAGTTGTGCAAACTTCCGTACAACCTTTTATTGACAGACAACGTCGAAGCTTCTACCAGATCACCCAAAATGTCGATTCCTCGAGTATCGTCTAGTGGAATGTTTGTACCACTTGACTATAAAATTAAATCCTACATTACTGGCCACTCCCACAGTCAAACAAATATCAACTTACATCTACAACGAATCCTTGATCAATAGCTTGAATAATTCGATCTCTCCAGCGCTGTAGTTCATCCACGGTGATAATCGTGTCATTGTCCACTCGATTGAGATCCCTCATAACTTGATTGTCATGCCTAGCCGGATAGGCACGATTGTTCAAGCTACGAACCATCTTTGGGAAATATGCTTCCGTGATCGGTTCACGCAAATTCGTCAACGGCTTAGCCCGTGCCAGTCGGTTGCAAAATCTATCCGCATTGTATCGGGCAATGATTTGACTGTGCATGTAGTAGAACAGCTCTCCACGTCGATCCTTTCGGGCAATTTCTGGAGGCGCTCCAGCCGGATACACTAAATGCCAATGCCAGTGGTGCATGTTTACTCCGATATCCTCACGGAAGTATGCCATCCGCTGCTCTGGTTCTCGATCCGAAGCGGTGTAATTCGGTTCGATGTTGACCGTATCCTGAACAGAGCTTATACATTTTACACTAAATCATTCTCCAAATTAAAGATTTCAACATACCCGTTTAACTTGATCTTGAACAACGTTTCCTTCCTCACGCAGCTTCGGGAACACCGACGGATCCACGAACTGATCGGGAAACAGTTCCAAAATAGATGGAATCAGAACGTCCTTGGTGTCCGGTCGATGTTGAAGTGCAACCGTCAGAGCATACTGGAACATGTATGGATTCAAGCGATCCCTAGCGTAGGTGGCAACCCCCATCAATGTGCTTGCATCGGGTAGTTTAGCAAACAAATCAATCAAACGACCAGCTATGTCCCGATGTTTCTCTACAAATAGCGAAAATGCCGCACGCCTGCCTATTACCTCCGCAAAGGTAATATCCGGAATTTCCACATTCCGCACGGGAATTTCAACGTCTGCCCCACCGGTAAATCGGGTTTGTAGTTCGCCAGCCAGTGGGCGATACCGGTCGCTCAAGTACTCTTCCGGGATGATCAACGACGTTTTGCCATTGTCCTTTGGCATAAAGGTCGGTTCAATGGGGCGCTGCAGAAGCGCTTGGAATGATCTATTTTCGGTCATCTTTACTTGCGAGGAGTTTCTTTAAACGATGGATAATACACTGTGGCTCGATGTGAACTGTGCCTTGAGATTAAATTTTGGCAGTCTTTTATATGGCTAGTAGAAGTTGATCAACGGAAACCGCAATCTCCACAATGTAAAGTATGTAGGCACTCTCAAGAAGATGTGCTGTGTGCTGTGACATTATACAATGTTTTGCTACATAGCATGACTTTTGTGTTGCTGCCTTCACGCTGATGTGATGTTGCGATTAGAAAAGACGCCGTGCCACTTGTTTAAAATAATCAATTTACTTCCTGTACAATCAATCACTTAATCAGTTTCATATTTTTATTTTATAAAATCAATTATCGATTTTTGCTATGTTTATATAGATTGGCAAAACAAACTTTTTAAAATCTGGTGATATATTCATGAGGTCTCTCTATAGCTTACACAGAAAAGGCACGGCATATATTGCTGGAGACGGCGAGTTCCATTCGCGGTTTAGTCAAGAAATTTTTGGTTGATGTTTGTATAACCATCAAAATGAACGTAATTAATATTCTGGAGATCTGTTAATCAATTTGTTATCTCATTTTTCATTTGCTAAGTGGTTTTGCACATTTTGCATCAAAGTAGACTTCAGAATTTCGTCGTTCAGGCCACTCAAAATACAGATTGACCATTTTAAAGGTTATACAGTGGTGATAGAACTTTGAAAATTATGATTTTTTTTTTGTGGCCTGAGCAAAAATCATATTGAGGGATTATTTTTAGCAATGTGTTAGTTTCTGTAAGAGAATCATGTGCTGCAAAAAGTACGGGAACACACTTTTGATTGTTGTCGTTCAGATTCTTTCAGGAAAGCAAGTATGGGAACAGACCCATTTTTGAGAAGCTGAAATTCCATCGTTGTGAAAAAAGCTTGTCAGTAAATTTAGTATTTATTAAAGGACTTCCTACGTAGAGCAGCCCGTTAGGACTAAATACGTTTGGCATACGGACGCTAGGTATAATGAAAGCTACCCGTAAACACTAGATTGATGCAAAATTTTAAATTCTCGCTCCACAGTGCTCACAGTGCTAGCCTCCCACTATTTGAGCTCATTTGGTAAGAGACTGACTTTACACAAACCGGAAAAACATAACTTTTCGATCATTGTCTTTAAGCCTATTTTCATATTGAGCAATTCTCTACAGATTGACGAATCTTTATTTTTTTTTTTAATTTGTCGGCTCCGATTTTGATGAAAATTTGCACAGTTGTTTTTTTTTTTAGTAAAGATGCCAATTTGTGTTATCAGTTCTTCAAATTGAATCACGACTACTTTTCTAACAGGGCCTGTGTGAAAATAGTACTAATGAGGTAAAAATAGAAGGGTCTGTGCCTAGGGGCACGAACGGAAGCGTGACGTAGGACCGCTAGTGGACGGAACAAATGTGAACATTTAGTTCTTTTAATTGATCAATCATCAATTATCTTTACTCTTTCCGTTTTTTATTTGTAAGCGTATCATATTTGTAGTATTTATTTCAAAGCGAAATTTGATGCAAAGAATTAAAGGAACTTGTCAACTTGAGTATTTTCGATTCATCTACCCGACTTTAGAAGGTGTATTTTGATTTTTTTAATTATGAATTTTTAAGTTTTGTGCATTTTGGTATTAAAGTGTATTCAATTCACCCCTCACAGGATTTCCTTCCGAATTATATGAATGGGGTGGGGCGGAAAGTATCGTTTGTGCAGAATATGTAAAAAAGGAGGGACTTCGAGAGATTGAACTCGTGAGAGCTAATTTTCTCACAAATTTGATTTCATTGGCTTTCTGGGGACTGAATATACACCCAAAGCGAATTATTCCCACTTCTCTCAAATTATATATGGATTTTCAACACTTCCTACCAGCGTGTTCTGGAAAATGGTCGGACTATGATTAATCTCACCAATACATTCGGGCCTACAATTCCACACCTTCTATAGAGACTAGGTTGAGCCTTGATAGCTAACTACTTGCGAGAACTGATGACCTTGACAAATGTCCAATTAATACTCTTAACAAATTTATGGTGGTCCTGAAAAGGACCGTTTTGTAGTGATGGTTGAGTAATCTGAGTTGAGCACGACGAGCTTCTGATTCCGATCCTAGCCTAGCGGTGGGACTTCTTCCTCCTTCTCTATGGTTGCTAATATGAGCTCTGCAGCTCGCTGCTTGCAGGCAGCCTTTCATTGTTGTTGTTGTTGAAAGCACTCATGCTGCTGCTGCTGCTGCTACTACTGCTGCTGCTGGACTGGACACCACCACTTACGGTGATTGAATGAGCACCGTTCAGTGGGACCGCATCGAATTCGATTTCTAAGTCTGTGTTAGGAAATGCGCTGTTTTCAGACATTTGGTGATAATTTTGATCACCATTGCAACAGTTGGACATTTGGTATTTTTTCAATAGTGTCCTAGTGTTCATTTTAGCAGATTGGTATATAAATTTCCAATCGTTTGGCTTGTTTGGAATTAAAATCTATCTGCTATTGGTCGAAACCTGACCTCTTTTCGTAATGCATTTTGGTTTTTGGAAATTGCGCGTATTCTATAGATCCTGTGGAGATCTATCTAGCCCTGATGTATGTTTTGGTAGAGGGAAAAATGTAAACTTTGCGGGAGACGATGTCTTAACACTCGAAAGCAATTTTGTGAAGTAAAACAAATCCTAGCTAGTTCTGTAACAAACAAAAAAATCTATAATCCACATTAAATTTCATATGTAAGCGCCGATTGAAACAATCTTTTCGACATCACTACAAAGGTGATTGATTAAACGAAAGAAACGAATCGTGCGGAATGAAAGCCGAGGAAAAACAATTCCACACCTTCTATAGACAGGTTGAGCCTTGATAGCTAGCTGTTTGCGGGAATTGATGACCTTAACAAATTTTTGGTGGCCCTTAAAAAGACCGTTTTATGGTGATGGTTAAGTACATTCTCTGCTTGATCGGCAAGCAGTTCAGTTCGGTGTTAGCTCGGTCTCTCGAGTTGTTTGAAAAGTTCGTGGCGATAGTCTTCGCGCTCTCTCTTTCGTGGTTTGTCGTGCGTGTGTGCGTGCCCCGAAATGGGGAAGCATCGGTCGCGAAGCCCGGCGAAGGTCCAGAACCCCGGTGAAGGAAGCTCCGGTGTGCCTACCTCGAACAGGTTTGCTGTTCTCCCCATGGATGGGAATATCCAGCCAGCTGTGTTGGAAAAACGCAGCAAAAAGAGGAAGAAGAATCGAGGCCAGTCCGATGTCACTGCGACAAACGCCAGCGACATCGGTGATTTCAGCGACGCCATCGGTAACAAAAATTCTGCCGGCCCGAGTGCGGCAAAAGTGAAACTACCTCCATTGGTAGTGAAAAATGCCCATCTTAATGAGCTCATCGCAGATCTAGCGACGCTGGGCGTTAAAGCCGAATACAAGTTGGGCAGAGTCGGCACCAAGGTGTGCTTCGTACCAAAGCGGAGTATGACTTGGTCGTCGCCCACCTGAGGACTCCCAAGGTGGAATTCTTCACCCACGACATTCCCGGTGAGAAGCCATTCAAGGCCGTCATTAGGGGCCTACCAAACTTCGACCCGAAGTTTATCGAAGCTGAAATCAGAGACCGGTACAAGCTGGCCCCAAGTGCCGTCTATCGGATGACAAGGAAGGACGAAAATGTGACGGCGTATCCGGATAGCCTTTTCCTGGTACACTTCCAGAAGGGAACGGTGACGCTCAACGCGCTGAAAGCCATCCGCTCCATCAATTCCATCATCGTCCGCTGGGAACCATACCGTGGCGGCCATCGTGATGTGACTCAGTGCCAACGGTGTCTGTACTTCGGACACGGCACCCGCAACTGCAACATTAAGCCACGCTGTGGCAATTACGCTCAAGACCGCGCCACTTCCGACTGCCCTGCGGATGGAGCCGTGGCGTTAAAATGCGCCAACTGTGGTGGTGCTCACCAAGGTTCCGACAGACAGTGCTCCAAACGCGAGGACTTCAAACGCATCTGAAAACAGGCGGCAACTAACAACCAACCAGGACGCAAGAAGGACAAAGTCCCGGCATTTCGGACGGAGGATTTCCCGCCTCTTCGTGCTCCTCAGCAAAGGCAAGCGAATTCGCGGTGCATTCCGCTCAAGCAACTTCTGGTGATTCTGCTGGCCAAAGCTCTCCATCACCCCCTGGATTCTGGAGACAACAACCAGCGCAAAACAACAACCCCGATCTGTTTTCAGCGGATGAACTGATGGAAATTTTCGTCAACCTGACCGGTGCTCTACGTAAGTGCCGCAATAAGCCCGAACAGATCCAAGTGCTCGGTAAGTTCATCATCCAGTATGGTGTCTAAACCGCTAACCATCGCTACCTGGAACGCTTGCTCTGTAAAAGCAAAACAGATTGAGCTTGCCGACTTCCTCCGCAAGCACAGCATCGACGTGGGCCTTCTAACCGAGACCCATCTAAAGTCCGGCGACAGCTTCTGGTTGCCTGACCACAACATTATCCGGCTTGATCGCACCAGCTCCAGGTGGGTGGTGTAGCGGTCATCGTCAGAAAGGGAATCAAGTTTTGCACTCTGCCCCACATCCGCACTTCTATCATCGAGGCCATTAGTGTGGAGGTGGAATCACCAACTGGAAACGTCCGGTTCATCGCTGTTTACTGCCAACGCCAGTGTACCGCAAGCAACGAATTAGGAATCCAATTCAAGAAGGACCTGACCGCCATCACCCGTACTAGCTCCCGATTCATCGTTGGGGGTGACCTGAATGCCCGCCATGAAGCTTGGCGGAACTACTAGAGGAACCGCAACGGATGTCTATTGTTCGACCACGCACAACATGGACTGTACACTGTGCAATTTCCGGATGAACCAACTTTCATCTCTCCGGCGGGAAATCCCTCCACGCCTGTCAAACATCGGACTATCCAAGCCGAAGGCGCACAACGATCTCAGCTCCGACCACCAACCGGTGGTGACTGAAGTTGGTGTCAACGTGGTTCCTGCTAGAAGCTGCCTG